TACTTTAATGCAGTCAATCGTTGTTCATTGAAAGCAGTGCTACACACAGTCACATTGGAAACAGACTCTTCATTAGGTACTATTACAAACTGAAATTAATTTCAAGCATAAATGATAATTATTTTGTGTACCTGATTCTTGACAATGCACACTCACATCAGCATCATGACTACAGTCATTAATACCAATCCCTGAATGACTACAGTTGAGTATAGTCTCCTCTGATCCAGTGCATACTACTTCATCTAAATATATGGGCCCAGCTCCAGGACCAAAAAATGCTCTATTAAGATATGCAGCATCTAATGAGAAAAAAATGCAGAGTTAGTACAATCATTTATCAACTTTATGCATTAAAATTACTTACTAAGTTTAGTATCTTACCAATAGTAGGGTATCCTAGTTGCCTGCAGACCACCTCAGCATTAGTGTGAGTCCATCCATCATCACACACAGTGCCCCATTCATTGTTAATACAAATCTCTACCCTTCCTACATTAGGCACATCCCCATCCACTAACTGTACATCACCTTCCACACAACCTGTACAGAAAGAGAGCAATTATATAATGTACACTTATACCAGTACACAAGATAGTAAAAGTATAAGCTTACCATGGGCTACTGCTAAAATCCAACAAAGAAACAAGGATAAGAGGAGCATATTCTGGTGAAATGACTTTCAGTCCCAGCAAGAGTAACCACATCTAGGATTGTTGCATAATACATGATAACACTTTTAAATCTAATTTAGATAATGAGCTTTTTATTAGGTAGATGTAAACATTGAGGGGGCAGCATGAGCTATCTATAGATATTTTTGACTAAGGCCTGGTTTACAGACCTGTGTAACTTAATATTATATAAAAGCATCACTTTGTCTCTTCTAGCATTAATAATACATGTATGTACATTGTACACAAGAAAAAACTTTTCATCAGTTTAAATAAGTTCCTAAGACTTAAATCGATCTAAAATTGATTTGTCTTCTATCTTCATTTGGTCACCCTTTGCCTTAGTTGATCTCAATTTTGCCTTGAGTAGTTGCTATTAATAGTACAACAGAGTAACACAATTGATGATGTAATAATGACTCACCCTTGCTCTCCTGTCTAAAATCTTTTGTTTCCTGGAAGCTAGTTTACCAGGAGTGCTACGACCTCTCTTCTTCATTTTCAATACAATCTTTTTCTTTTTCCCCTACAGAAAGTTGAAGTGCATAACTCTTAATGTTATTAATATAGAAAGGCAGCAGGTTCAATATCTTTTTTTGCATTTTTTGTGATTTTTTGCCCTGTTATAGAATTAAACATTTAATTGAGCAAAAAACGGTACCGCTATACAGTGTTGCTTTAGTTTGGCAATTTTAAATTGGTGGTAAAATAGCTCCTATGTGATAATGATAGCTTAAACATAAACAACTTTCATTACCAAATCCAATTGCCAAAGACAAAAATTAAAGCAGTACATGCATGTGCTGTCATAAAAATAAAAGCAAAATGACTCTACAACCACAAATAGAACAATGGAATTACTTTGTCATTCCTTTGAGTATTATTCTCAGCCTCTATTGGCCCAGTGTACACTTGAGTGAGGTTCTGTGGCTCTAACATTATGAGATCTGCTGGTATCTTCTCCAGCAATGCCTTCACTTCCCATTCTTGCCTCTGTCTTTTACTTTGATAAGGATTAACCTCAAGACCATCAATATTAGCCTCACCAGCACCTAACAGCAGAAAACATAATTATTGACATAAAATATATGATACTATAGAGCTAATGATACTATAGAGCTAATGATTCTGGCAAGTTTTGTTTTAGAAAATCATATACTAGAATCTACATTGTTTAAGCAAAAAATTAAAAAGTATAACAATTACCAACTATGCAATATTTATAGTACACGTACCTGGTACAACAATGCTAGTAAACCCATTACTGTGTCCCAGGCCAAGACAATCCTCAAAGGGGCAGAACTGAAGTTTGTGTAGCTGTCCTGAGAGACGATACTTGAGATAAGGAGTGTATGGCTCTGACTGACTAAAAACATCTTTCCAAATCTAAAAGAGTTGGGTGGAGGATAAAGGAGAGACTTCATGTAGAATAAATTATAAAAATAGAGATTTCT